TTGAGGTCATGATAGTGAGAGGGAGGCAGCATTAAAGAACTAGAGAAACATTGTATGTTTCATCTGTGCTATACTGCACCATGACTGTCTCGTCTCTTCCTTGTGACTTTTCTGTAAGGGGATGTCCAGTTGTCTACAGATGGGCTTTGGGACTCCACTCTGCACTCCCTCTCATTCACATTGATATGATTTATCGTTCTGATACCTGAACCCATCAACAGCTCATGATCACACAGGCTGGTGTGCTTCTTCCCTGTGGGCTTTGTTGCTTGTCAGCTAGATGGCTGCTTGTTTAAGACCTAGGTTTTAATTACAATTGTTTCACTGAATATTTGGAGAGATGAGACATTTGCCTGAAGAGGGCTTTGCATCATCTTTCAAAGGAAGAACACTGTGGTTTGCCTTTTTTCCCTCAATTTATTTATTTTGTTGGTGTTGCTTAAAATGTCCACAATATATGATACCTTTTCTATATGCACAATGTATTGACTTGGTATAGAAGTAACTACTGAAACATAGTATCCACTCACCTCCAAGGAAGATTAGTTCATGCCAGTACTATTCCATGTGTCTCTTAAACTCTCAGTGATAAGGGGTCAATTCTGAGACATAGTGATTCTGTGGGACCAAGGAGAACTACTCTTTAGAGGTTGTGAGACTACATCTTTATTGGACAAGACAGCCTCATCTTGCTCTAGTGGAGTGGCTGGTAGTTTTGAACTGCTGATCTTGTGGTTAGCTGCCCAACTCCTAACCCACTGTGCCAACAGGGTTCTATGTAAGTACAAAACAAATATTTTGCTTAGTTAAATATAGTGCTTTTCAAACTTGTAAAGCTCCAGGCACTACTTCACAGACTAGGAACTATAGCAGAAGCACTTACATTAAACACATTACTGTGCCAGTTACGTGAGATAATTTATGAAACTCTGATCCCAAACCTCCAAGCCAATGAGCCGAATTCCAGCATGTGTTTGATTGTACATAACCGGCTTCTCTATATCTCTCCCTGCAAACCCACCTTCTTGTTGTCATTGTCATACACGTATCCCACATTGTAGATGGTCATGCATGTCAAATAAAAATCACGATAAGCATCACAGAATGACAAATCAAAGCCACAGTGGAATTCCATCTCACTTCCATTCAAATGGCTAAGATACAAGGATAAACAACTAAAAGGGACAAATAGAAAAGAACGTATATTGACAAGCACCATTATCCATTGCCTTTGGGAATGCACAATGGCACCGCCATTATGGAACACAGTGGGTCAGTGCCTCAACACAGCAAAGTAGAAGTACCTTCTGTACAGCAGAATGAAACATGGCTGGTCCTGGAAAAGACATCACAAATGTTTCTGTGTTTGACCCATTCTTGCAGCCACTGTGTCAGCTCATCTCATGCAGTGTCTTCTGCTTTTTCAGTGGCCCTCTGCCAAACAGAATGTCCTTTGTTCCTAGTGGGTAAGCACTGTCCTAGTCATTGTGACGTCAGTGTTCAAACCCATCACCACGCCCCCGAAGATGAGGCTACTCCAGCCTCAGGTACCATACCTAGGGAGCTATGAGTCAGTGGCAATGGGTTTGGGTTTATTTGTTTGTTTTGATATCTTCTAGTAACTGATCTCTTCTGATAAACTGGAGAGACAACGGGGCTATGAATCATGGAGGGAGGGAGGAAGGAATGAAAGGGGGATTAAAGGTGATGGGAGAAAGAAACAAAAAAAAAATCCCATTTAATTAAAGGTAAGGTTGCACAGCCAAATTTTGTTAGAGCTGTCAATAAATTGCACTTATGGAAATTTGAATTGGCCAAAATAGATGATAAAAACACTGACAATATTGGCACACATGCACGCATGGATATAGTGATGTTTTGAAGAAACTAACTGGTGCAAACAACAAATGCTTCCTCATTTGGTTATTGGTATGTGGGTGGGGGGGGGGCGTTCAGGGTGCCTCACATTTAGATCCACGACATTGAAAAGAGCAGAGCTGACTCTGAACTTGTTCAAAATGTTGAGCTCAACATTTTGTAGCACTTTCCAACAGGTTGGAGCCTAGCTTTTGAACTTCTATTAAATTCTCCCCCAGACACTTAATTACAATAACAATTCTCCTTCTTTAGGCATTTTGGTTGAGAGTTGTCAGAATAAAAATGAATAAAGAGAACTTAAGTGGTAGAAATCAGAGCAAGGAGTTTTCCTTCTATTGTTGCTGGCTTTGATGTTTTAAAACAATTGTACACACACACACACACACATGCCTCCAAATATCCTACAGTCTATAGGGTCCCAGGTGCTTCCTGTCCAAGGCATTGGTAATTTATACCAAATGAAGAAACATTTTCAGTTACCCAAGGGAACAAAGAATTCTGGAGGGGCTTACAACTTCTGTAAGGTCCATTTAATAAGACTGCTGTGTCTAGCAGCACACGTTTCTTTCAGAAGTGATTATGTGACAGTTGATGGAATCTAGCTTTCTAGATTGTTCACAATGAGAAATGTATTAACATAGCTCATGCAAAAAAAGGGTTTTGGATTATTGACTTTCCCAATGGCCAAAATTATTTACCTACATGACCCCCATACCCAGGAAAACACCATGTGTTCAAATTCCCAGGGCCAGTCTTCACCACTGTCTAGAAAAGAAAGTAAAACAAAAACAAACAGGTTTTTTAATTATGTATTTTTATAGAAGAATAAGGAGAGCACATAACACATTTAGTTAAACGTGTTGCTTTTTTATTTCAAGAACAAGCTAGTTTATTTCTTACACTTATATTCTTACTGGTCTATTTAAGATGCCATAATAAAATAGATTGCTTATGGTGTTTTATAGGGAGTGGGTATGAGCAGAATAAAAAATAGCATTCATGTAATACACTGGTACCTGTATATGCCCTGTCTCTTATTTATTCATGCATTCATTCATTCATTAGTAGATAACAATTGTGTGTGTGTGTGTGTGTGTGTGTGTCAACACCATACTAAGCAATGGAACATAAGAGGAAACTATAGGATCCAGCTTTCAAGCAGGTCACAGTATGGAGCTACTGGAATTACTTACCAAGACACGTTTAATCAATGGGGAGAAAAACAAATGATGCTTTGCCCAATAAAACACAACATCTAATGCAGTGGTTCTCAACCTGTGGGTCGTGACAACTTTGGGGGCAGAATGTCCCTTTCACAAGAGTCACCCAATTCATAACAGTGGCAAAATTACAGTTATGAAGTAGCACCAAAAATAACTATATGGTTGGGAGGTCACCCCACCAGGAAGAACTGTATTAAAGGGTTGAGGCATTAGGGAGGGTAAGAACCACTGCTTTAATCTCGCCTACTGCTTCATGAGCATTGGCGGTGGGGGCAAGTGAAATGAAGTTCTTAAACCTTCAATATTTTCTACGTTCATGATGAGGTTGCTGACTGATCCACTTGTGAGGATTTTTGTCTTTTTAATATTGAGGTGAGGTGTAATCCATATCGAGGTTGTAGTCAGAATCTTCATCAGTAAATCTTTCACATCTTCCTCACTTTCAGCAGTGTTGTGTCATCTGCCTGTTTTCATGGAAAACATAGTAATGTTTTTGAGGGTGAATTTTTAACTTTCAAAGAGGGATCCAAATGAACAAGTTAGGAATTATTGCTAGTAGGCATTTTTCTTTTACTAATAAACATTTAAAAAATTTGTTCAATATTTAAATTTTCTTCTAGAAAGAAAATATTACCTGTTAGAGTAGATATATTTCTAATATAAACAGACTTTTGATGGTTCTATGATAGCAGTTGTCATACATTTATAGCATATTTCAGATCATAAACATTTTGAAAGATAAAATTAGCATTGCACAGTATATTACATTAGATTTGAAAAAAGGAAGAATAAGTAAGATACCCCCCAAAATTTTGTTGTATAGATTACAAATATTAAAATTTTCCTTATATTTTCCCTTAAGGAGGCTTGTTCCAAAATTAAAATATCAGAAAACAATGTTAAAGTTCATAGGATCAAAGGGCAGTTGTGCACACAGAACAGGACAATACTGACTGCATGCTTTAAAATCAGGAAAAGTGTGTGCCAACTTGTATCCTCTCACCATCTGTCTGCTGGGAAGACGATCAGAGAAACTGATTCTAGTGGCTAATTCCTCTAAAGCAGACAGCTTCTTCCTTTGTTGGTAGTCTGTTCTTAGTTTGGAAGCTCTACTGAAACATGTTTTTTAGGTGAACCAGATAATATTTGAAATATCAGTGACATAGCTTCCAGCATCACAGCATAGACAAGCCACCACAGTATCATAAATTGACAACCAAATGGTGGCAGTGACTTACTCTAAAATGAATAATACCCTTTTCTCCAAAAGATCATTTTAACATATTAAAACAAATCAAATATAATGTTATTACTTCTTCTCAAACAAGTTCTTCTTTATATACTTTTTAAAGATCAGAGAGGAGGCTTTATATTGAATAAGTTTCTAATGAGATAAGTTTACATTGAATACGTTTCTAATGAGATATTTTCAAACTGTTTAACAAAAGGAACAGAGAATTTAGAAGGAGTCTCAATATGAGGGCATAAATGATGATTACAACAATATCTCATTTGTTGGATCAGGTATACCTGACGGAGAATTTTAAGCCAAAAATCTGGGTGACTAGCATAGCAGGATTGCTAGTAAAGTTCAGACAGTGACTAATAGCCAGGGAGCCTGAAAAACATGTTTCAAGAGAACTGAGATCACCTACAGATAATATGATAGTATTGATTATATATTGTATTAATAGAGGAAAAAAAGGAAGTCGCAAAGAAGAAAGCTCTGTGAATGGGTTTGGTAATCGCCTTTTATGAAATTTTTGTGTATTTTAAAAGTAAAATTTCCAGGAAAGCCAGCCATCCTATCTTAGCCACCTTCCTGAAAAGGTCCTCTCTGAACTCGGACACAGTATGAACTTTGAATCATAATATCGTTACTGTTTTGTCCTCTTGTAGCTCTCCTTACTGGAAAAGGCTGGATTCGGAGGCGTTCTGCTCTATATCGATCCTTGCGATGTGCCCAGGGCCACACATCTCGGTTCAGACGCCTTCCTGGTGTCACTGAATCCAGGGGGAGACCCTTCCACGCCTGGCTACCCAAGTGTGGGTAAGTTCACCAGTAATCGTCATTTTCTTTTGGTTTATGGAGAGATTCGTTAGGTTCCTTTGTCATTAGGACACTGCAATTGGTAAACACAAGCAACTTCCTTAATCAAAGGAAAATAATAACTTGAATAAGGGTTAAAAGTGAATTTTCTATGTTTTCATAATGAGAGACTGCCACTTTGTTCTAATAAACGTTCAACATAATCCCTCATAGATTTTGGCTTGAACAATTCGTGTCATGAACAGAGTAAAAACATATTTTATATGTTTTTTCTTTATATGTTACCATTTTATCTAGTAACATTTATTTTATAGGTTACTATTTCCCCTCTCCACCCCCTATATAGTACTATTGATTGATAAAATAAATGGATGCCTTGGGAATGCAACATTCCAAGTAGATGGAAAATGGGCACAAATAGCTAGTGGCATAAAGTAGGTTATGTTTGGGGGTAGCTGTAATGAGGTTAAGTCCAGCATCTAGAACAACGCCGTGTTGAGGGAGCAGAGCAGAGAGAACGATGCCCGAGAGGAATGCAGTAAGTATGATCAAAAGATCTGGCCCCATAAGGAAAAAGCATGATTGCTTTGGCTATTCATTGACAGCTACAAGGGACCACCTTTGCCCAAACCCTACTCTCTTGCTAGAAGTCTGTGTTTCTGATGGTGGGGTCACAGAAGACAACTGTAGCTTTGGCAGATGTTCCCCGTTCCATTGGATTTCTGTCCAATATGTCACTGAAAATCGCCAGTTTATACAGAGTTGGCTGAGAACAAAGTTCTGCAAACCTTCTTCCAGGGTGACATTAAGCCCATTAACTATGACATTAAGCCAGTAATTACAAAATCCACATAATTATCCATGTGTTCTGCCAATATGTGAAAAAAGATTTTTCCCTGGGATCTTACTGTACTTTGTACAATCTATCTTCATGGCAACTTGTAAATAGAATTTGTAGATGTCCGTCTGTGTGGGTAAGTTCACCAAAAGAGTGGGTTCAGCTGTCTAATTTGCTAATGCTCTCATTATCATTGTAATGATTTCATGTCATGATAATTGCTCAGCTCTGCAGGCTCCTTGGAACTCACAACTCTTTGTGGCAAATCAGTGGAACAGCAATGCTCCTTCCAGACAGATGCTTGATCAGTGCCCTCCCTAAGTCTGTCTCTTGACTCCTTAGCGACATTTACCCTAAACATTTTTTTGGCCCAGGTTTTCCATAGATGTAAGATAATTTATAAAGTCTGTCTAACAAAATGATAACCAGGGTTTTAAGCAGTTTTGAAAAGTTCATTTTGAAATCATATGTGCTTATATAAATATTACAAAATTATGATTTATAGACTCTGCAATATTCTCTTCAGCATCATCTAATACTGATATTATAGAACCATAGTAAAAGTATCAAACTAATGTTGATAAGATATAGTTAACAAATATATAGGTCTTGTTTGAATTTTCTCCGTTCTCCTATTATTTTCTTTATTGTGGTTGGTTATTCACTCCAGAATTGCAAGCTGCAATTTTATTTTTGCTTTTTCTTTTTTCTTTATAATGTTTGCCCTTATGAAAATGACTAGCTGGTCATTTTTTTTAAATAGCCCTGTAATTGACTTTGTTCATGTTACTAATACTTTGATTGTGGTTAGCCTTCATGGCAAGAATACTATAGAAGGGTGTTGTGACCTGGTTGGTACATTGTCTGGGGCCTCATTTTGCCTGATACTAACTACGCTCCCTCCCCTAAGGTGCAGTCGGCCAGTTTTCTTGGCTGTAAGGGTATTGTTCTTTGTAATTAGTGGATATCTTATGTAGAGAAAATCCAGGTAAAAATATTTCCTGGGACCTCACAGTTCTAGACTATGCAACTATCCAAGACTATTCGAGTGTTCTCTTATTTAACATGCATTTTCTCACAAATTGTGGCTTCTGTCTGCTACAATTACTACTGCATTGTTTGCCAAACAATGGTTTTCTAGTTCTATCATGCTTTCAAATACTTTATTTTTCTCTTTTTGAGCAGTGTGAGTAGTATACTTGATGACCATGTCACCAAAAGGACAAATGGTTGTCTATAAAGATAAAATGATAAATCAAACACCTTCTTTTCCATGACAAAAAAAAATCAGTTTTTAAGTGGCTCACCTGAATCCTCTCTGATCAACAATAAAAAAATGTTGCATTAGATATTGTCAGTAAGAGATTCAGCTTTTAACTGTAAGCTTTATATAAATATATATATGATAGAGAGAAAAAATAACTGAATTTGAAAAAATTAAGGAGACATGTTAACTTGCTGTTATCATAAAACTGTCTTTAGTTAAATTTAAATGGTCAGAAAAGAATAGATTATATCACTTCAGTTCTCATTGAAATGACCTTAGAAATCATGAATTATGTTATTACTTTATAATTTTTACTTTAAGATTTGTATTAAAAACAGATATTTGAAGATGCTTCTATTTTTTATAAATGCCTGTAAAAGATAGTGATAATATTTATCCATATAAACACATATTTGACACACATATACATGGAGGGATAAAAGACAAACCACATTGTGTTTCTCTTTTTGCCTTACTGCTAAGAAACTCTGATTAATAGTAGACATTTCATTTGGCCTTGACTCAAGTATTCCCTCAACACAAGAACACTTTGTTCTAATAACCTGGCACTCTGTGATGATGCTCACCTTCCCTACACGATTGCTGAAGACAAAATGGGTGCATAAGCAAATGGGTGAAGAAAGCTGATGGTGCCCAGCTATCAAAAGATATAGTGTCTGGGGTATTAAAGGCATGAAGATAAACAGCAGCCATTTAGCTGAGAAGCAATCTATAACTTACCAAGGTTTATGAGAGAGAGCAGGTGTGGTAGGAAGGGGGGAAATGAGGAGCTGATATCAAGGGCTCAAGTAGAAAGAAAATGCTTTGAAAATGATGATGGCAACAAATGTACAAATGTGCTTGACACAACGGATAAATGTGTGGATTGTGATAAGAGATGTCATGGGCTATCAAAGCCCAGCAATGGGCTATCAAACTCAGCAAGGAAGAAAAGTCTGAGGGAGGCATGATTGCTATCAGAGAGTAGCTTAAAGGAGGTTGTGGAGGGGAGGTGGCAATTAGCTTAGAGCTGGTATGGAATTGAAAGCTCCTCCCTACTAAAATTTTAGGAAGCCATTTCTTCTTCATGTTCAGTTATTGGTGGTTCAGAAGTAGAATATTCACCTCCCATGTGGGAGACCCAGGTTCAATTCCTGAACCAGGCATTCAGGCCTGGCCATCTGTCTGTGAAGGCTTGACTATTGCTTGTACTAGACACCACCACTCCTGGGTCTGTTTGTCATGCTGTGGTACCCTGTGTTTCACTGTGATGTAGGCAGCAATGTCACTATTGTTTTAAAGGCCAGCAGGGTCACTCATAGTGAATAGGTTTCAGCAGAGTTTTCCACACTAAGACCAGACAACGAAGTAGGATTTCGCTGCCCACTTTGGAGGAAGTAGCACACAAAACCTTATGCATAGCAAATGCAAATAATTAGACAAACTGGATTATATAAAGAAGAATGCAGAATCAGTACTGGAGGAAGGCTTGTTAGCAACCTGTGCTATGCAGGTAACTCAAACTTGCTAGCTGAAAGTGAGGAGGACTTGAAACACTTGCTGATGAAAATTAAGGATTGGAGTATTCAGTATCGATTAAAACTCAATGTGAAGAAGACAAAAATCTTCACCACTGGAACAATAGGTAACATCATGGTAAATGGAGACAAGATGGACATTGTGAAAGATTTTGTCTTGCTAGGATCTATAGTCAATTCTCATGCAAGCAGCATTCAAGAGATCAAAAGACACTGTATTAGGTACATTTGCACAAGACCTCTTTAAAGAAAAACAAACGAGCAAACAAACTAAAAACCTTACTGCCAGGGAGTTGATATGGATACATAGTGTCCCTGCAGACAGGATAGAAGTGCTCTTGTAAGTCTCTGAATGGCTGTAGAAAACTCCCTCTTTCTCCAATGGAGCTGCTGGTGGTTTTCAACTGCTGACCTACTGGTTAGCAGCCAAACATGTAAACCACTATGCCGACAGGTCTCTGAATTATCGAAAAGCTAGTATGGCTCTTTAAGAACTAAGCTGCACCTGCCTCAAACCATGGCATTTTCAGCTGCCTCATCTGCATGTCCAACTTGGACATTGAATACAAAAGACAAAGAAGAACTCATGCATTTGAATTGTGGTGCTGAAGACCATGGAAAGTACCATGATCTGCTAAAAGGACAAACCGATCTGTCTTGGAAGAAGTACAATCAGAATGCCCTTTCAAGGCAAGCATGGCGAGACTTCATCTTACATCTCTTATATATGCTGTCAGGAGAGACCAATCTCTGGGAAAGGACATCACGCTGGGTAAAGCAGAATGGTAGCAACAAAGAAGAAGGTCTTCAATAAGATAGATTGACACCGTGGCTGCAATAATGGGATCAAGCATAGAATGACTATGGGGATGGTGCAGGACTAGGCCGTGTTTAGTTCTGCTGTGCCTAAGGTCACCGTGGGTGGGAACCGACTTCATGGTACCTCACAAGTGCAACATGATACTAGACTATTTTACTGGATCCTCCAAAATGAAGACCAAGAAAGCCCTGTTGATTTACTTCTGAGCATCAGCCAGTGGTTACCTGGTGAATCAGAACAGTTAAAACCCTGTTGATTTACTTCTGAGCATCAGCCAGTGGCTACCTGGTGAATCAGAACAGTTCAGCCACAAGAAGAGCCCAGAGTGAGGCATCTTTGGATTCCATTGCAAATGGGCTTGCCTTTAACTGACAGTCATAACAACATCTTACAGGCTTTCAAAATATTTTGGGTCAAGAAATCTAAATGTTCAGCTCCATACTAGATTTAACTAAGAAGTTTCATGAAAGAGTCTAGGCATTTGATCTTCCAAAATCTCTGTAGGTCCTTCGAAAGCACTTGGCTCTTGAGAGCCTT